GGGCCAAAGCTCGACTACCAGAAGGTCGTCCGCAACGCATTAAGGACATCGGCTCCGATGACTCCTCCAAGGGCTTCGACTACAAGACCTGCAACCTGCTCGTCGCCATTGAGGAGCAGTCTCCTGATATCGCCCAGGGTCTCCACTACGAGAAGGCTCTCGAGCAGCTTGGTGCCGGTGATCAGGGTATCATGTTCGGCTACGCCACCGACGAGACCCCCGAGCTCTTCCCCCTGACTCTCCTCTTTGCTCACCAGCTGAACGCTGCCATGTCCGCTGCCCGCCGCGACGGCTCTCTGCCTTGGCTCCGCCCCGACACCAAGACCCAGGTCACCATCGAGTACAAGCACGACAAGGGTGCTGTCATCCCCCAGCGCGTCCACACCGTCGTCGTCTCTGCCCAGCACAGCGAGGACATCACCACTGAGCAGCTCCGCAAGGAGATCCTCGAGAAGATCATCAAGAAGGTCATCCCCGCCAAGTACCTCAACGACGAGACCATCTACCACGTGAGTACCTTGAGTTAGTCCGAGCCATCCTGGAAGAGAAGCTAACAGCGACCTCAGATCCAACCCTCTGGCCTCTTCATCATCGGTGGCCCTCAGGGTGACGCCGGTCTGACCGGTCGCAAGATCATCGTCGATACCTACGGTGGCTGGGGTGCCCACGGCGGTGGTGCTTTCTCCGGAAAGGACTACTCCAAGGTCGACCGTTCCGCTGCCTACGTCGGTCGCTGGATCGCCAAGTCTCTCGTCAACGCCGGCCTCGCCCGTCGTGTTCTCGTCCAGCTTTCCTACGCCATTGGTGTCGCCGAGCCCCTCTCCATCTACGTTGACACCTACGGCACTTCCGACAGGACCTCCGATGAGCTCGTCGAGATCATCAACCAGAACTTCGACCTGCGCCCTGGTGTCATTGTCCGTGAGCTCAACCTTGACCGCCCCATCTACAACCAGACCGCCAAGATGGTCACTTCGGCACCAACCAGACCTTCACCTGGGAGCAGCCTAAGCAGCTCAAGTTCTAAGCGGTTTCGACCGGAATTCTTTTTGCCCCAACGATACCCCAGAGAGCGTTCAACAAGCTCTCTGCATTGCTATGAATAGACGTTTTCATGCTTTTTTCTCAACTATGACGTGGGCAGGCAGTCACACAAACATGGCGTACGGTTCTCAACGAATCCCGGATTTTAGCCTTAAACGGGTAAGGCTTACGATACACTCTCATACAAACAACCATAATGCAAGCTTCGGCGTCCTTCTTCTTTTTTTCAAACTCAGGTCTCTTTTCTCTACTTCCTCCTCTTGAGCTGTGGGCGATAAAAGTTGCTGCTGGGCTGGTCATGGGAAGACCTTTGGAGCGGTGGCGTCTTTCAACAAAGACATACAGGAGCGAGTCCCGGCGCGTGTCGGTTCCTCAGGAAACAACGAGAGACGTGACACGGGCTCCGGATTGCGAGCTCCATTCGGCATGATACCCCCTTCGCATTGTTCGATCGGGATTTACACAAGACGGGCATTTACATCGGCGTTAACTGGAGATGAAAGAACTTCAACCTCTTTTCTTTCCTGGCTATCTGGCCGACACTTTTGTGTGCGGACGGGGGGCCGTCCTTTTGGACGATGTTGGCCGAGTGCGAGCGGTGTGGGAGCGGGAAGCGCAGACTACGCAGACACCGCTGTGCAGTGATTCAAGACGAGTAGTCGTTGCTTTTCAATAGAGAACAGTTGGCTATTCCATCACCCTTGTCGCATGTTTCTGATCCGCCATTCATGTCTCGCCTTGGTTGTAAATAAACCTTGTCGGGTGGTGTTGTGAGGTCCCTATTCCTATTGTCGCCGTGTCACAATGCAGGTTGTAAGCCCTGTCATCCGTGTACGCCTCGGGCTCACAACATATGACAGGATTTGCAGCCAGCCACACATCCATTAGCCCTTTGCATCCTACGAAGTAGGATGGGTAAGTTTCCACACCCACACTAGGTACCACCATGACCTAATACGCTATCCTGCATTCAGAAGGCCCCCTTTTCCTTAGTATTTTCAGTACTTTATATATATCCTATTAGCCTTAATCATAGCCTAGCACCTTACTAGCATTGATTCCACGAGCTCTACCAGGAACGCTCTAAGGACCTAATACTATACCTTATAGATATACTACTATAGACGGTTCCTTAGAGGGTTTTCCTCTATCCTATATCTATCCTATAGAAAGTCCTTTATTTAGTTCTAAACCTTCTTAATAGTATTTAAGTTAAGCGAGAAAGGAGGCTACTCGAGTCTCCGTATCCCTCGAGAATCTAGCTCTATCTACGTATCTCTAGCTACGTATAGCCCTACGTTATCTTAGGCTAGGATAAGGGAGACTCCTTCTCGTGCTTATAGCTATATCTCTCTATAGATAAGGGGAATAATACGCTATTAATAGCTCTTAGAGGTAATATTCCCCTAATTAGACTTCTCCTAGAAGACTCTAGGGCCCTTAATATCCTTAGAGAAATAGCCCTAGAATATCTAGCTAGCTTTACGCTAGAACCGATTAATAATATAAGTTAGCTCTTATTCTTCTCCTCGTCGACGAGTAACCTACTACTTTCTATAGTGCCCTCCTATTACCTAGGTCTTATTAGTCTAAAGAACCTTCTTCTAGTCGTCTCTTCCTTAGTAGAGATATTAGTTTATAAAGGCTAAGCGAAGTTATCGGTTCTTCTCGGATATCGGAGGCTTCCTACGAGCTAGGCGACGGCTAAATCCTAGGCGCCTAAGTATATATCGGATTACGTAGTCTCCGTATCTACGGTTAAAGAGGCGCTATAAGAGCTCTAACTAGCTAGCCTAACGCCTTAGTCTAGAGGTTATTATATACTTAATAAGCTTCCTCTTACTCTTAGGTAGAGAGCTAAGGAGGGCGGCTAGAACGTAGGCGTATAATAGGGTGCTCGAGAGCTATACGGATCTAGCTAAGGGAATAGCCTATAATAGCTACGA